ACTCATACTTGGTTGTGGCTTGGATCCAAGAACCTCCTTTATTTTTCCAGAAAAAAAAAAAAATTCTTGAGGACTTGCTCACCAGTCCTGAGAAAACTGGGGGCTCTCCCAAAATGGTTTCTAGTCCTCTCTAACTTTGCTCCTGCCATAGTCTCATTTTTTTTTTTCCTAATCACAAGAGAAACATATTCAGAGTAAAAAATATCACATATCACTGGAATCTATAATTTAGAAAGTCCCTCCAGAGAAAACTATTATCAACAGTTTGATGCATCTTCTTCCAGATTTTTCTCTATAAAAATGATCATATATTATTTCCATAAATAGAATCGCATAATTATACAGGCTGTTTCTGAAATGTGCTTCTGTTTCACATGAGATCAGGAAATTTTCGCCATGGGGTTGTGCGTTTCTACTTCACTGACTTTCCTCTGCCTCATTCCTTACCCTCGTGGTTTTAATCTTTTTGTGCTCTCCGTCTCTTTGTGTTCCAAGAATGACAAAAGCACATAGTCACATCACCCAAATATTTGCATTGGACTTTGGGTGTCACAGCCTTCTCAACGCTGATCTGACCCCTTCACCCCATGGATGGCGGGGCAGGCGGGGATCACTGAGATGGGCGGGAGGGTGGAGGGACCACGGCATGACTTTCTAACTATTGGGCTAGGGAGACTCACTCACGGATGAGGAGCCTCAGCCAAAGTTTGGGTCACTGCTTCCATTGTTGGACCCTCTACCTGTCTCTGGTACCCACCCCAGGCTCCTCCTCAGGCTGGGGGCTCCTCTCCTAGCATCCTCAACGTCACCTGACTCCTCCAGCTGCCAAACTCTCCTGGCCTCAAACGGGTTGGGCGACATTCACTTCCCTGTGCTGTCCTCACAACCTGCTCAGTCATTAGGAAATGCCTCAGCGCCGGCCGTCACAGTGACAGCAGCAGCAGGACCTGCTGCTTGCCCAACACCTCTGGGTGGCTCAGATCTGCTCTTCGGAGGCCCTGGGTGGAGAAGTGGATGCTGCTCTCCCTAGTCCCGCCAAAGTGAGTCTGGGGCTGGGAAGGAGTGGGATCCAGTCAAAACTTGATATGGTTTTGGACTGATCAGGGGGTGTGGGAGTGTGTGTGTGTGTGTGTGTGTGTGTGTGTTAGTGACTTTACACTGGGGTTCTAGGAGGGAAGACCAGGTGTCTAAAGGTGTCACTGTCTCACAGGCTCACTATCCCAAGATGGGAGCCATGGGACACTTAGGCTGTTAACAGCTCCCAGCTAGTATTCATGATGGGCTGCTGCTGTGGGTGAGACTGGGCCCTGGGGCTTCAAGAGGTCAGCTCCCTTCGCCAGTCCTAGTCCTTCCCTTGCCTGACAGGTGGCCAGAGGGGCAGCCTGTTTACAGTCACTCTGAGGAAGGAAGTTTGGGTAGTCACTTTTCCATCAATGCTTCTTCATCTATTTCTTTAAACACACACACACACACACATATTTTACTGAGGTATGACTGACATACAAAATTGTGTACATATTACATATTTGATGTACACAATTGGATTCTGGAGCTCTCATGAGGTGTTTGCATCCACAGATGTTTGTTGAATCAGTGTCTCTGTAGGAATATGAGGGCTGGGATGTTCATCTTGCTCCCAACTCTTCCTCTGTTCCTTTAGCCAAGGTCTGGAGTGCCCTCCATGGAGGCCCATCCACTCCCTTGCTAGAGGCACTGGTATACAGCATGGACTGTGTAGCCGGGCTAAAGTGGACTCAAATCCTGGGTCTGCCCTGTGCTATCAGTATGACTTAAAATAAAGCCCTGAACCTCAGTTCCCTCATGTGTAAAGTGGTGATAATATCTACTTCCCAGAGTTGTTGTTAAGATTCAATGAGGAAGGGAAGCAAAATGCCAAGCACATAATTAGTGTTCAATAAATAGTCGCTGTAATAATTATTTATTATTAGGTCGACACTGGTCCCAGCTCACCTAGGAAGACTCCAGCCCTCCCCCCCACCCCAGTTTCCTAAAGCACCAAGGGGGTGCTTAACAGGTAACACCTGGCATTGTTATTTGGCTGGTTTGTGCCCCCAACCAGAACACGTTCCCTGTGTTTCTGCTGCTGCCATCTACCCCTCCCTGGCACCCGAGACAGAGTGAGCTCTCCAGTTGGAGCTCAAGGATGGAGAATGAAATGGAATCAAGAGAAAGGGAGGCACACCAGGAGGGAGGGGTCAGGGTAGGGTTGAGAAAGGGAGATGAGAAGGTGGGGGTGGAGGGCCGCATCATCCAGGAGTGAACGGCATGCCTCTCCTGAAGCACGGGAAGGGGAAACAATGGCCCGGAGAGGGCATCAGTGGGAACCTGGGATGCCTTTTGCAGGCCTTGGGTCCCTTCTACCTTTCCTCCAACTCTCCTCCTCCTGCCCCTACTCATCCCAAGGAGAGGAGCGCTTCCCGACTCAGCGAATGTCTACTCACCCAATCTATCAACCAATTCAAATAATGTCCTCTTTATCATCTATGGAATCTCTCTCTGCCGTCCCCTCTCCACTGCCTTTCCAGGCAACCTTGGACAAGTCACTCCCCCTTTGCCCCCCTTGAGACCTGGGTCTGCTCACCTATGAAACCAGATTAACAAAATGACCTTGAAAGTTCTTTCTTCTCTTTTCTATCTGCTTTAATTTTCTTCCCTATTTTGATATCGAGATACTCAAACAACTTGAGTTATTGATTATCATTCCTCCTTTTAAGAAAAATCTCTCTTAAAAAATGTTATAAATGTTCACTAGGCTATAAAATTTCCTGGACTTTCTGGAGCACTGTGATGCCTAGCTAAGTGCCTAGCTCCACAAGCATTTGTTAAATAACTATGGATGGATGGATGGATGGATGGATGGATGGATGGATGGATGGATGGATGGAATTTTCACCATACATCTGTAATGAATGCAGGGGGATGCATTAGCAGTTAGTTGGCTTCAGAAAATCATGGTCATCCTGAGAATAACCCCGGTTTAGTTTAGATATTCTCAAGTGTGTTATAAAATGAAAATGATTAAGAAACACTAGAACCACCATCTTAATTTTAATCTATTGCCCATCACTTAATAATCTATTGTTCGGTTATTCTAACTTGAGGGGAATTTCCCTCTTACAGGGGCGTGTGATTTCTTAGTGACTCCTGCATGGGGAGGAGAGGGAAGGAAGGAAGGCGGGTGGTGGCAGGGGAAAGGAATTGGCCTGCCCAAACAATGGCACCTACCATTTATTGAGCACTTACTATATGCCAAGCACATTAGCTCACAGTTCTCAGAACAACTCTGTGACGAGAGTAATAATATACTACCAATCCACTCTTACAGATGGGAAACAGGCTCAGACAGTTATGGGTTTATAAAGAATTTGAACCCAACTCCAGGCACAGAGCAGTTGAACGCCCCCCCCTCTATTTTGGAGGCCATATTGACCACCTCAGTGACCACAACTTGGAAACTCCTGAAAATGTTTTGATGTGGCCTCCAGGGTTCCAGGTCTCCTACCCTCACCTCATCGCTTTCTTAATTATGGGACATTTCCAACTTGGTAAAATGGATTTGGACTGGAGCCGAGAGAGGAGAGACTCCAAAATATTTGTGATTTAACAAACTATAGTTTGTCCTTCCTATTAATTGATCTTATTCTCATTCTGTCATCTGTCAAATCTGGGGGCTGCCACACAGTTCTATTCATCAAGTGTCCAGGGGTCTTTCCTATGTCATTGATGAAAAATATGTCAATAATAGGTGATTGAGAATCCTTCTAATGAGAGTGATCTAGATGAATTAGGCTACATATTTGTGATATGGGGGACTTTTCAGTGAGGACACCCGGGCCTCACCACATATCCAAAAGGATGTTTCCCTATAAATCATCTTGGGAAGCTGTGCACTTACTCCAAAAATGCCACCATTGTTAAGTATATGTTTGGGGCCTCTCTCCTCTGCTCTCATATATCGTCTACTTGTTACTTTATGGGTGACTCCATATCCTTGATTTAAAATAATATTGTTGATATTATTATTATTATTATTATTATCATTGCCACTTGAGCATTGATTTATTTTCTCATCAGGCTTGGCCCCCAGTGACTTTTGGACATTCCCAAAATACCAGACACATCCTCAAAGAAGGAGACTCTGCCTTCACCAAGGTTAAGCAAAAGGTTCTCTCGCTGCCTCCAGCAGGCCTGTAAAGATATTTCAAAGAATGACTGAGCTGTGGTAGCTGAAGAAATGAGCCCACAACTCCCTGCTGTGACTACCTGGAGGGCTAGCAGGCATTTGGATGTGTAAGTTCTGAGCTTTATTTTCAAAACAGTCATTGCTTTATAGCCACACTTAGCACAAAGGAATGCAATCCAATGGCTGGATACAATCCAGTGGGTCAGCTGGCATGTGAGTGGGGAGGCTGAGAAGCAGACCTTTACTGGAAAACAGACACTCTGGGCACAGGCCCACAGTGGAGCCTGGATTGAGCAGGGGGAAGGAGGGGTGAAAGGATGGGGAGGAGGCATCTGCTTAGCTACCTACTTCCCCTGAGATCTCGGTGCTCCTAACTTCACTTCCGGCACCAACCAGGAAGAGGTGAGCAATGATCTCACCATGTGTGCATGTCACGGTTGAGGTGAGGTATCAGGGAGGCCACACCATCATCACACTCCACACACCTCCTTCCAGAGCCCAGTGTGCTTGGGAGCTCTCATTATCTGGTTCCCATCCAGAAGTCCCCCTCCTCTCCTCCTAAAGGTCTTAGACTCCAGGTCTCAGGCCTTAGTTTGACACAAATAGGCCACTGAGGGGCAAGTGCAGAAGAGGGAAGGGCAGGAGGAAAAGAAAGAGAAGGCAGACGACAAGGAGAAAGGAGGCAGTGGAAGCAGAGGTGTGGACAGGAGTTAGGAAAGGTAGGAAGGAGGAAATAGGCACCGATGCTCACAGCCCTTCCCTCCCACAGCTAAGGCCCAGCCTTCCCAGAGTGGCCATGTCAGAAGGGGAGAGCAAGGATAGCTCGGGCAGCGAGTGCCCCGTGTGCTACGAGAAGTTCCGAGATCTGGAAGGGGCCAGCCGGACGCTGAGCTGTGGCCACGTGTTCTGTCACGACTGCCTGGTCAAGTACTTACTCTCCACCCGCGTGGATGGGCAGGTCCAGAGGACCATCGTCTGCCCCATCTGCCGCTATGTCACCTTCCTCAGCAAGAAGAGCTCCCGCTGGCCCTCCATGCTGGACAAGAGCTCCCAGACCCTGGCCGTGCCCATGGGCCTACCCTCGGTGCCACCACCAGACACTCTGGGCCACACAAACCCCCTGGCCGTCTCCCAGCCTGTCTGGAGACCAACCCAGAGTCAGAGCACCCAGCTCCCCTTGGGCCTGCTGCCCAGCCTGCCCCGGGAGCCTCAGATCTACATCATCAGCCGCCACGGGATGCCCCTGGGGGAGCAGGACAGTGTCCTGCCACGCCGCAGCCTGGCGGAGCTCTCAGACGCGTCCCCGGCACCCAGCTCTGCCCGGTCGTTCTGCTGCCGCTCCCGGGCTCTGCTGCTCATCACCCTCATCGCTGTGGTGGCCGTGGTAGCTGCCATATTGCCCTGGGTGCTGCTGGTGAGGAAGCAGGCATGAGTGGTGGCACTTGGGGGGCCGCAGGGCCTCAAGATGCTCTGGAAGCTGCTGGGCTCCACACACCCAAGTCCTGAGGGGTGGGTGGGCAGGCACTGGGGAGGGGCAGAGAGGGCATTAGGAGGTGCTGATGGGAAGTAGAGTGGCATCTCCCCACCTCCACCCTACTCCTCGCTCCCAACAGCTCCAGCGTGCCAGGGAGGCTGGGGACTGGTGACCTCTGAGGCTAGAGCTGAATTGAGCAGCTCAGTTCTGGGCTGAAATGGAAACTGGAGGGTCCAGGTCAGGGTGAGAAATGTGACAGGCGCCCCTTCTCAGCACTGGGGCCCTGGTTTATCCTCAGTACAGGCTTTCCCTTTCCTCTAGGTGAGAACTGGACAGGCAGGAAGATGGGTGCTTACCCCTTCCCGTGGGCTCCCCAGCCCTGAGGTGTAGTTCTTACTGCCAGGTGACCTACCTGAAGCCAGGTGGGGCTCCCTGCGGACAAGGAACATCAGCTGGCACACCCTGCTAGATGGGGGCCCAACGGCAAGGCTCCTTCAGGTCAGAATTCCTATGCAGGTTTCTAGCTTGTTCTTAGGGACAAACAGAAGGAGTGGCACAGGGGTTTACAAGCACATTTCCCAGAATCTCAGCAGCTATCCATAGAGCTGGGCAAGCATGTGCACATTCCCACCTCCAATCCTTCTGCCACTCCCCCCACCCCCCCCCACTCCCCCACCCCCCGGTGCCAGCCTGCAAGGTCTTCCCTGAGGGAGGAGCTATGGGCCAGGATTTCTGGTGGAAGTAACAGAAATGAGTCTTCCAGGGATGCTGAGGTCGCAGGAAGAAAAAGGGTTTGTAGATAGAGATGAAGGCCAGCAGAATGGCCCATAGAGGCTGAAGGGGTCCCCCAGCCTCCCAGGCCCTAGGAATGGTCCAAATTTTGAGTCTTGGGGTTCTCAAAGGTGACCTAGAAGGCAGGGAGTGCAGGGGAAACCTGATGGCTGAGATTTGAGTCAGCTGAGAACTATGTGGGCAAATTAACCCCTGCAGGCTCTCACCTCCCTCCCAGCCCAAGTCCTCCTCCTCATGACCCAACCACTCATTAGAGGCCACACCAGCTGGGCCAGTTTCTGAGGTGGATTCCCAGGCTGGGCTGGGTGAGGATGGGTGGGGAAGAAAACAACCGTGCTTGTCAGGGAAGCTACTGTCTCCATAAATGCTGAAACCCAGGTGCTGTTGGCTGCTGGCCCAGGCTTCTTTACCAGAGGACCCCACATTGGACTGTGCTGAGGGTCATTGATGAGGACCATTAGAAAAACTGCAGATTGGCTCTTGCCTGAGGAGCGAGTCATTTGAGGAGAGTTATTTTCTGTTTATTAAGACCCTGAAATCCATGAGTCATAATCTAAAATTAATAATAAGATGAAAAACAACAAAACCCCAGGTGTGCCAAGAACTGAGCCTTTCACAACCTCTACCTCTCTCAGCAAGTACGCTATCGATGGAAAAAAGAAATAGCCCTCTGCCTCTTGCCTGATTCCCAAATGCTCCCAGTGGTGGTCATTTGGGGGCCACTAGGGAATGGGATCCACACTACATGGACTACTTGGGCTGATCTAAACTATTTAAGGACTTCTTCATGCTCTTTTCAAAAAGAGAGAAAGCATGGGTGCTACTTGACACGGGGGTGGGGGCGGGGAATACAGGTGGATTCATGGGGGAAATATTTATTATAGGAATACAAATCTCACATTTACAAAGACTCATGAGTCTGTTTTAACCTCAGCCAGGTTGCTTTCAACAATGCCATGATAATATTTAAAAAAAAAAAAAAAAAAAACAATGCCATGAATTTCTGGGGACTTGACTGGCCTCAGATTCTGGTGTTTGTCAAAAGGAAGTTTCGAAACATCTGTAATGTTTTCATTATCATTCAGTGGTGATTTGTAGATGGCACTCCTTTTATTTTCAGAGAATGTCAGAAACTATTTTTTAAATAAAGGTATCTATTTTCACAAAGATTCCAGTGACATTGCAAATGTGTAAAGCTGTGAGCTTGGACTTCCAAGATAATTTATTTGAAGTCAAAAAGACAGTTTGAAAATACAAACACAAATGACTCCTAACCATTTACTCGATCATGTTTGTGAAAGAAATGCAAATTAAAATCTGTTTGTACACCAATTTCACCCATTAGCTCATCAAAGCCTGACCCACTCTGCAGCCAAAGCTGAGGGGAACCAGGAGAAACGGTGGGGATGTATATCGGTAAAACTCCTAGGAAGGAAAATTGGACATCTATCAGAATTTCCACTTTGATCCCACAATTCCTGTTTCAGAAATGTGTCCTGCAGATGCACTTGCCGTGATGGGCAGAGGCATATGTACAATGTTAGGTAATTACAGCGTTGTTTGTAATAAGCAAGGATTGCAAATACCCTACATGTCAACCAACAGAGGGCTGGCTGTATAATATAAGGTCAAGGAACTCTCATGCAGGAGTAAAAGGAACACAGAGGAAGTCTAGGACTGACACTGAAAGTCTTCACAGTACAATGACCGATGGGAGAAAGCCAGGGAGTCAGCGACTGTTGTGGAGCTTTGTAGACAGTTGGGGGGATAAGAATTTACATTCCTATTTGCTTATTTACTTCTGCAGAAAGAAATTGGAAAGCTACACCAAAAATCGCTGGTAACAGAGATTAACTGGAAGGGGATGACAAAAGGCTAGAATGGGAGGGGAAATCTTCCCTTTCCCTCTCATACTTTCGGATATTTGAAGCAAGTAAACATATTATTTATTTGAAAATGAAAATGAAAACCTCTAGTAGAAACGTCGGCATATAGGTAAAGAATCAGCCCCAAGAACACTCAGAAGCTGCTAGACTGCTTGGCCTGTGGTTGGAATGTCAGTGGGCTCATGGGGCTGGTTTGTCTGGTTAGAGGAGTGACAGCTTATGTTTAACAGACACCTCAGGAAGGAAGGTAAAAAGTTTAATATTCTCAATATTTTTTTTAAGATTTATTTATTTATGCATACAAGAGCTGAGGTATGGGCCAGAGGTGTGGGGGGGCGGGGTGAGAGGATTCACCAGAGACAGAGTAGGGAACAGAACAGGCAGATCCACCAAAGTACACTGCTGAGGGAGCAGTGGGGAGACAGGAGAGGTTTGCTGCGCCATGTGGGTCACCTCCTGGCTGGGGATTGAACTCGTGCTGCAGTGGCTGCGGATAGCTTCATCGGTTGCGTCTTAACCCCTTGTGCCACCAGGGAGGCCCCCAATATTCTCAATATTTTTCAGATTCTATGGGGTTTCTTTGGAGTGCATAATTTAATGTTCTTGTTTTGATTCTTGTCTACCCTTCTTTTCCTTTCTCAAATGAAATCTTTTGCTTCAAGCAACCATCCTGGGGTTAGGGCACTACAGAAAGAAACCATTCAGTAGGAACCTCCCTGGTGGTGCAAGGAGTTAGGTCTCAGCACTATGAAGCTATCAGCAGCCACTGCAGTGTGAGTTCGGTCCCCAGCCAGGGCACTAACCCACATGGCGCAGCAGACCTCTCCTGTCTCACCCATTGCTCCCCTACATGTATATTCAGTCACTCCCCCTGTTCTGCTCCCCACTCTGTCTCTGTGAATCCTCCCACCCCCTACACCCCCGCACTTCTAGCCTACACCCCAGCTTTAGTATGCATAAATAAATCTTTAAAAAAAAAAGGAAACCATTACGTAGATGATGGATAGATGCCAAAGTTTAAGTAAAAACTGTTGTTCTTCTCATCCTCTCCTCGCCCAGAAGCAACCCCTACCCCTTACACACACACACACACACACACACACACACACACACTTTGCCCAATACCTCACATCACAATAACCTTTAATAGATCCTTGAATAGTCTAGGCCTACACAACAAGATTAAGGAGCCCCAAGCCCTGAGCCAGGGTTCCCAGGAACGCGGGTGTGCACATTAGAGACCTCTGCACCCCTCAGACACATCCTATCACCCCTCTCAATGAAGCCTGGAGGAGGCTCACAGACAGCTCTGCTGCTCTTTCTTCTCCCTTTGATCTCCATTTTTGGCACAAAACAAAGAATCTTGCCCCATCCTTACAATTCACTTTCCTTCATGCTGTTCTCAGTGGATACAAACGAAAACCACAACTAATTCTCAACACAAGTATTTGCAGTTCCAACAAGCATTGCAGTGGGGTACAGGCCTCTGGGCCTTTGCTTGAGAGTCGCCCTCCTTCTGGATTATACTTTCCCTCTTTCCCACCTGGAGAATTCTACCTCACTTCCTAAAAACAGTTCAAAGGTTACCGATGAAGACTTGCCAGTCCTCTACCTCAGTCAGAATGGACTGCATCTTCTGGGGACACAAATATTATGCATATTTGCTGACAAGTCCATCCCCTTCAAAACAGCACACTTTTTTTTTTTTTTTTTAAACAGCATGCTCCTTGAGGGGAAGTCGGTTCTTACTAATTGGTACACTCCTGGTATCTCAGTGAATTTAGTAGAGTAAGAGTTGGTAAATAGTCCGTAAAGAGTAAATATGTGAAGCACTCATGCAGGAATGAATGAACAAATAAGCAGGATGGTTTGGTGTCTAGGAAAAAAGTTCAGTTCAAGGCACTTGGGTGTGGAATCCGGATATCTGCTTTCATGTGTCTTGAGGCTCCACAAATACCCTCTTCGAAATTACCTGAAGGAACCAGTTTAAAGGACCCTTTCAAATCATAAATGAGGAATGTAAGGATGTGTCAAGACGCCCAACAGATACTTGTAGAGATAAACAGACTCCAGAACTAGGTTACCAGTAATTTGCATCTGTGTGTACAATCTGTACGCCAGCAATCTTCACACTGTAGACAGGGGGTTATGCTGTTCAAATGGTGGGCTGAAGGTTTAATTTTGATGACTGGATGTCGGGAGGGAGAGAGGTAAGAAGAAAGGTGACAAAAGAAAATGATGTGGAGGTTAAGGAAGCAGAGATAGCCTTTGTGGGAAAAGAGGAAGATGATTGGTACAGGAGGTCTGAGGAAGAGGGGAGTTAAGGAAACTATGAAGAGAAGGGGGCAAGGCTATGAAGACCAGCAGGAAGGCAGAGGGCCCCAGTGACTCCCTATGACTTTCAGCATCTAAATAAGACTTGCCCCCCGGAGCCCTCTCACACCAGCCACAAAGACCAGGGTCCTTCCTGGAGACGATGTGTCATCTTGCTTCACACCTCCGTGCCTTCCCTCAAGCTATTCCCATTGCCTCATGCAGCTAATTTTAACATTCTTCAAAAGTCACTCAAGAGTGACCTCACCCCTCTTCCCTGACCCCAGAGCCCTCTAATATTCCAGAAGCATAGAAGCACCCAGGCCAGTCAGGCTTGGAGTATACTACGATCCTGTGGTTAATTCAGTTGTTTATCTCTCCTCTTAAGACAATGAACTTTCTGCAGGCAGACTTTGGCTAATTTTGTAATCCCAGCATCCAATTCAGGGTTGCTTTGCAAAGATGATCCATAAACATTTGTTGAAAAGCATTACAGCAGAGGAATCCTCACTAAAATTGTGAATTGTGAATAAAACTTGGGACTATTTCCTTCACAGCTTTTAAAACACAACTTTTAAAAAATTATTGATTAAACTTCATTTTCTTTTTTTTAAAGATTTATTTATTTATGCATACAAGAACTGGGGTACAGGCCAGAGGTGCAGGGATGAGAGGATTCACCAGAGACAGAGTGGGGAGCAGAACAGGCAGATCAACCAAAGTACACTGCTGAGGGGAGCAGCAGGCAAGACAGGAGAGGTCTGCTGTGCCATGTGGGTAACCCCCTGGTGCCATGTGGATAACTCCCTGGCCAGCCGGGGATGGAACTCGTGCTGCAGAGGCTGCAGATAGCTTCACGTTGCAGTGCTTAACCCCTTGTACCACCAGGGAGGCCCAAACTTTTTTATTTTCTTACATTGTTGCTTGTTTTGTACAATATTTAATTTCCCCCCTCAGGTGTAGTCCTCATAAATCTCCCACCACAGGCCTCCCTAGTGGCACAGGGGTTAAAGACTCAGCACTGCCAAACTATTGCCAGGCACTGCAGCAAGAGTTCCATCCCCAGCCAGGGAGGCGACCCACATGGCCCAGCAGACCTCTCCTGTCTCGCCTGCTGCTCCCCTCAGCAGTGGATTTCAGTAGATCTGCCTGTTCTGTTCCCCACTCTGTCTCTGGTGAATCCTCTCACCCCCACACTTCTGGCCTACACCCCAGTTCTTGCATGCATAAATAAAATCTTTAAAAAAGAAAACTCCCACCACTACATCAATCATGAGCCATCACCTTAGTCACCTGCACTCTTCCCTCCTGTTTTGATCCTTCTCTCTCTCCCTCCCTAACGTATGCCTCAGATTTAGTTTGCCTGCAAGTTTTTTCTTTATTTTTTTACCGTTTGTTCAGTTTCCCTATATTCCTCCTAGAAGTGAAACCATCCAATATTTTTCTGTTTCCTTCTGACTTATTTCACTGCGCATAATCCCTTCTAGACCATACATGTTGTTAGGAATGGCATGAGTTTATCTTTTTTGATTACTGAATAGTACTCCATTGTCTAAAACACAACTATTTTAAGATCATAAAGCACGTGTTCTTTATTGATTATAGTCTGGACCCTCAAGGACATGGCTTCTCACTCTTTTGACTTGACCTCACAGATTCCTACAAACTGGGAACATATACAATTACCGCAAGGGCTGGGTAACCAGCCTGCAATACGTTCATCTATAAGCCAAGGGCTTTACAGGACCTTACACAAGCTCCTCCCACTTCCGTGTGGTTCAATATCTTTTTGTAAAATGGACTAAGATACACCAGCAGCACAAGACTACTGGATTAAAGGAGTTCCTAATGAAAAGTGAGAAGAGTGTCCGTAGCACTCAGCAAGCTAGTACTACATATCGTGTCTGATGTATCATTATGAAATGTGTCTTCTGCCAGCATGACACCTGTATTCATTCAGCAGAAACCGATCCCCAAGATGCCCGGCTAGGCACGCCGCGGGAGTTCACCCTGCCCCGCAGCCTGTCCCGGAATTCATTTGCAAGGGAGCGCATCACCTTGCCCTGCTTAAGCTCTTTGACTGCATGACAGCAGGCAGCGAAATTCAGAAAGAGGCTCAGGTCTCGGCAGGGAAACACCTCCTCCCGCCGCGCTCCTCGGGCCAACGCGCTCGGTATCACTGGGGGGCTCGTTGGAAACGCGGGTTCAGACGTGCTTCGGGGGTGGCGGGCGGACCGACGGGTGGCCCGACTCCTGGGAACGCGCCTCGCAGACCGGAGCCGAATCTGGGGCAGACCCCACGGCGGCAACAGCGCGCGCCAAGCTGTGTGGGCGGCAGCCGGCCCAGCAGGAGCCGAGGTACCTGAGGACTCCACACGCCCACGCGTGCCGGGCGGGCAGGAAAGGTGTCCAGGTAGCCGAGGTGCCTGGCGCCACCTGGCGGCCCAAAGTAGACCGCGCGCGCGAAGCCCGGAAGTGACGGGACAAGGACCCCGGGGGCCGCTCGCTCCTTCATCACCCACCGGGATCGCCAGATCCTGAGCAGCCCCCGCCACTCGCGGGGTGACGACGCTTCCCAGACAACACCGCTGCATAACCCAGCTCTCAAGAAACAGCAGGAACCTGAGAGGTGAGCTTTGCGGTCCCGCGCAGCGTCCCTGGCAGTTCCCCTCCTAGCCGCGAGAGGACACTAGTCACCAATTTCTTACCCAGTTTCCTACCCTCGTTCGAACTCGGCGCCTCTCCCGCTCCGAGACATCGAGTCTCGCGAGATCTCTTGTAAACTTGCCGAACCGGAAGTGGCGTGTGGGCCTTTTCCCTTTTGCGGCCATCGCTGGAGCACCGGCGGGTGAGCATTTGCCGGGGAAGCAGTAACAATCCGCAGCCATCCGTTCTCAGGCAGCAAGGCTTCGGACCCCGAGGAGTCCTATATTCTCCAGGCAGCCGAATGGCACCGGAGGAGAAAAGCTAGGATGATGTCGACCTGTTTTTCCCCCTAGCTGAAGGACGCCGAACTGGGGAAGAGGGGAGGAGAAGGGGTTTGGGAACTTCGAATCGGAACAGGGAGAGGAGGGATTCTGTGGAAATAAAGACAGGTCTGGACAATGTAGTTTAAAGAATGTTCTCGAGGGGCCTCCCCGGTGGCGCAGCGGTTGAGCGCTGGGTTGCGAAGCTGCCCGCGGCCTCTGCGGCGCCGGTTCAATCCCCGGCTGCTCCCCGGCCACCAGAGGAGGATCCCACATGGCGCGCAGACCTCTCCTGCCACCCGCTGCTCCCCTCAGCAGTGTACTTCAGTCCTTCTGCCTGCTCTGCTCCCCACTCTGGCTCTGGTGAATTCTCTCACCCTCCCGCGCTTCTGACTGTACCCAGTGCATGTATAAACAAAACAAACAAACAAATATAATAAATAAATAAATAAACATGCCTCTATTTTAAAAAAAAAAAAATAAATAAAGAATGTTCTCGAAATGACCTTGGTAAAACCAGGGAACTTCGAGGCTCTCGCACATGGGGAAGTTTTGGTGCCCGACAGTGCAGTATTTCCAGTTTGGGGTGATGGGGGTCTGATTGATTTTGCATGTGGCTAAATGTTCGCGCTCAAAATCTCATAAGGTAGCGATGGTCTTTCTAAAACGTGATGTTGTATTTGAAGAATTGAGTGGTCGCCCTGCTTTGCACTCAGCAGAGATAAAGTCCTAGCCTGTACATAGTACTTCAGGACTTTGAAGGATGTAAACAAAGTTCAGTGACTAAAGGAAGTATTTTATTAATGGGGAATTTTTTTTTTTTATAGAGGCATGCTTTATTTATTTGTTTGCTGGTTTGTTTTGTTTTGTTTATACATGCACTGGGTACAGTCAGAAGCGCGGGAGGGTGAGAGAATTCACCAGAGCCAGAGCGGGGAGCAGAGCAGGCAGAGGACCGAAGTACACTGCTGAGGGGAGCAGCGGGCGGTAGGAGAGGTCTGCGCGCCATGCGGGACCCTCCTCCGGTGGCCGGGAAGCAGCCGGGGATCGTACCGGCGCCGCAGAGCCCGCGGGCAGCTTCGCAACCCAGCGCTCAACCGCTGCGCCACCGGGGAGGCCCTAATGGGGAATTCTTTATTCCACAAACACAGTACCTATCCTGGTGAAGCAAGTTTTTTAAATTTCAATAGGCCGTTCAGTTTAAGTAGTTCTTTGATGGAGTTACAGAGCATGACAGTTTCTGTGAGCCTTTGAAATTTCAAAATGAAATTATTGCTGTTACTTGCGTGTGGTCATTTAAAGGTTTACACCTCTTAATTTCTCATTTAGCCAAAATGAAGTTCAATCCCTTTGTGACTTCTGACCGGAGCAAGAATCGTAAAAGGCATTTCAATGCGCCATCCCACATTCGTAGGAAGATCATGTCTTCTCCTCTATCCAAAGAGCTGAGGCAGAAGTACAATGTCCGATCCATGCCCATTCGGAAAGATGATGAAGTTCAGGTATGTGCTTTTTTCAGGTCATCTTGGCAGGTATCCTGCCCACTTGGCATAGAAGACCACCCACATTCTGAGAACAGAATTAACTGCAATAGAGTTGAGCTGGGCACTAAAAGTCAATTTGTGAAATTAAGTGAAAAGCTACACTTTTTTTTTTTTTTTAAGCTATCACCTGCAACGATTGATTTTGGCTGTCTCTAAAGTGCATCTATATCATCCATATTTCATGAGGTTAACATCCACTTAAATAAAATGATACCATTCCCAAATTGTATAGGTTGAGACCATCAGCTGCTGTGCTGTTAAAATTGCCAGTAGAGTGGGGAGGCAGTCTGCTGTGTTTTCAAGATAACACCAGAAGGTTTGCAAACAAAGACAACAATCTGTTCAGAATCACTGTTTTCCTGTTAAGCTGAGGATCACTTGGGACTCTTAGGTAGGAAAACAGTTAACCTGAAAGATGGAGTAACAAGTTCCTTGTGATCAACTTACTACGGAAAACCAGGTGGGCTAATTTTTTAGCTTTTAAGAAACCCACCACTGCTGGTGGGCCATTAGTTGTGTGGATGCACTGTCCATAGCTGTAGTCTTATACATGGGGCATGGTTTTTTGGTAGGCTAACTAAAACCAGAATTACTGACACATTTCTATTAAGAATACAATCTTTCAAAATTGAAAGGTCCTAAAGATTTGATAGAATGTTTATGATTACTGCTTTTCCTATTTACAAGGTTAATATTGTTTCATCTGCATATTTCTGTTTTTGAATTTTTTTTAGGTTGTTCGGGGACATTATAAAGGACAGCAAATTGGCAAAGTAGTCCAGGTTTACAGGAAGAAATATGTCATCTACATTGAAAGAGTGCAGCGGGAGAAGGCAAATGGCACAACTGTTCATGTGGGCATTCACCCCAGTAAGGTAGGTGAATGCTTGAACAGGGAGAAGGAAATTAGTGCAACTGTTGGCAAATATGATTTGTTACTTATTTGCAGGGCAACTCCCTAGACACTGGTTTTAGGTGTGTTGGAAATCTTAAAATCTTTATGAAATCAAGGTCCCTTTAAGTCATTCTGTGTTTAATATGTTTTCCTAAAAAGTTATTAATGAGCTGTTTGAACCATCTTAATAAATGCACCTTAATATTTAGGTTAAATTGAGCTGACACTGTTTACTTTTGTGCATTAAAAATGAGTTGGGGGGGCCTCCCTGCTGGTGCAAGGGGTTAAAGACACAACCTATGAAGCTATCCACAGCCAGGGAGCTACACACATGGTGTAGCAGACTTCTCCTGACTCGCCCGCTGCTCCCCTCAGCAGTGTATTTCAGTCAACCTGCCTGTTCTGTTCCCCGCTCTGTCTCTGGTGAATCCTCTCACCCACCACACCTCTGGCCTATACTCTAGTTCTTGTATGCATAAATAAAAAAACTGAGTTAGCTGTAAGGCCGCTTTACAAGCCTCTGCAGTGTGATTATTAAAAGTCAAAGGCTAAGATCCCATGGACGGTGGTGTAATGTCAAAGCCGAGATAGACAATCCAGTCTAATTCTATAGCAACCAGTGCCTTTCCTAGACTTTAATGTGAATTATCCAATATTGTCGCTAATCTCGGTTCCCTTTTTTTTTTTTTTTAAATGTTGAATGTAGAGGTAGTGAGTACACATAGTGATTGATCAAATACTGAAATGTTTTGTGGGTTTTTGTTTTGTTTTGTTTTGTTTTTTTAAAGATCTTGTGTTGGCACCATGAATTTAATTTTCAAACTGCAGAAAGATGAAAGACCTCCGTCTTTTGCCTAGAATTCATTATTAACATTTTGCCTCCTTTGCTTTATCTCACTTCCCCACCCCACAGTAGTCACAAGCCTCATGACACTTCAGCTATACTTCAGTATGAATCTTCTAAGAGCAAGTGCTTTCTCATTCTTGAACTGTGCCAGTCATATTTTTGCTGCCCTCACCAGATCAGCTAGTACCAGGGTCACTGATCCAGTGACAGCAGAACTCCTGTCACCCCCACTGCTCCCCTCAGCAGTGTTTTTCAATAGATCCTCCTGTTCTGCTTCCCACTCTGTCTCTTGTGAATCCTCTCATCCCTCATACCTCTGGCCTGTACCCCAGTTCTTGTATGCATAAATAAATTTTTTTTTAATTTTTTTTTTTTTAAAGACTTCAGGTATCTACAGGCGGATGGCTTGTCCCAGACCTCAGTATCCAGTTGCCTCTTTTGCATTTCAACTTGGATTTCTAATCAGTAATCTCAAACCTGACATTTTCAAATTTGTCTTTATCTTTGAAACCACCACCTCACAGTGTGTGACAGCCCTAGTCTCATTGTTCCACTCAAAATGTCATTTTTTATGTTTAAATATCCTCTGTCAGTCAATAAGACTTACTGCTGTTACCAGACACCTGTTACCATTAAAGTGGCCTGTGAGACCGTATCTCTTCTCCCCTCACCAGCCACTTCTTAACAGAAGCTTACGCCACTCATAGTGATCTAGCCCCCTAGCCTTCTCGCTGTTTCTACAACTGTGCTACTCAGTGTGTCTTTTGAGTAGCATCGCCTGGCAACTTCATAAACCTGCAGATTCTGTTCCCAGCTAGCTTAAGTAGAATTTGGGGGTGAGACCCAAGGGTCTGTTTTATAGGCCTTCCACTAAATGCAAGTTTAAAAAAGACATCTGTAGGGCCTCCCTGGTGGCGCAGCGGTTGAGCGCTGGGTTGCGAAGCTGCCCGCAGCCTCTGCAGCGCTGGTTCGATTCCCGGCTGCTCCCGGCCACCAGAGGAGGGTCCCACATGGCGCGCAGACCTCTCCTGCCGCCCGCTGCTCCCCTCAGCAGTGTACTTTGGTCCTTCTGCCTGCTCTGCTCCCCGCTCTGGCTCTGGTGAATTCTCTCACCCTCCCGCGCTTCTGACTGTACCAAGTGCATGTAGAAACAAAACAAATGAACAAACAAACAAATAAATAAATAAAACATGCCTCTATTTAAAAAAAGAAAAAAAAAAAGACATCTGTAATTACATTCTCGGGCTTCTGGACCTTTGTACTTCTCTTTAGGACACTTAGCCAGAGAGCTCGCTTCACTTTTATCCCTTTTTAGGTGTCTGTTCAAATGTAGCCCCATCAGTAGGGCCTTACCTAATCTTCCTATATGATTTAGCTCCTAGTCTCCAGCATTCCATGGCCTCTCCCATTGCCCTGTCTTTTCTGTTTAAAAATTTGGTGTACATTCACGTAATTGCTTTCTATCTCCCCATACTGGAAAATAAACTTAGTGATGGCAGAGGATTTCTTTTGGTCACCATGCTGTTATTTCCGGACCTAGTACAATGTTCTCAAAGGACTTCTTCATAAAGCTAAATTTTATCTAGTATGGAGTCTTTAGCAGTTAGATCTGTTGAAGTAAGATCTGTGCTAGTTTTGCAGGTTACCACATTTAATTTCCAATGCCATTCTAAAGGTACTCTAAAAACAACTGTATATGACTTGGTTGGATTGCAAAATTGGAATGAGGAATAGAATGGATGATTTTTGCAGTAAAGCATAGAAGATATGAGAAGAACCATTAACCTCATACTGCCTTCCATCCCTTGTTGGTAGAAAATTAGCATTTAAGTCAGATTTTATTTGGGGCTAAAGAATAATTTTTGGCATTTGTGAGTAATATAATCATTTCATGTTTAGGTGTCCACTAGGCCGCGTTAGAGAAATGGGGTTGAATGTTGAGCCTTCTCCTTCCCATGTGTTCAGTTGTTTAAAGCTTAGAAGTGTTTTTTCTTCTTCTGCAGGTGGTTATCACTAGACTAAAGCTGGACAAAGACCGCAAAAAGATCCTAGAACGCAAAGCCAAATCTCGCCAAGTAGGAAAGGAAAAGGGCAAATACAAGGAAGAAACAATTGAGAAGATGCAGGAATAAAATAGTCTTATATACAACTTTCATTAAAAACTGCTTAAATGAACTCTTTGCTATGTGTGTGGTGCTTTGGGATACTGCCTAGTTCTTAGTGGACTGGTTTTCAGGGAGCTTTAGGTCTCTGGAGGCCGGTCACCCCTATCTTAAGTAAAGTTGGTTTTTTACATTTGAATATCAATTTTTTTAATCATTGATGTTCTTTCTAAATTTTCTTAAGACTGATGAGATTTTTAAAGCAGCATTTTGGGGTATATCATGGCTTGTTGAGGCCTAGATTAAAAACTAAAACTAGTTGGGACCACTGCCTCTAGAACCTTTATCCCTATCTAAACTATATGGAGGCCTCCCTGGTGGCCTAGGTATTTAAGTCTCAGTACTATCACCCCTATAGCCTCAGGTGGATCCCCAGTCAGGGAGCTAACCCACATAAGGTACAACAGACCTCTCCTGTTTCACTTCCTGCTCTCCTCAGCAGTGTATTTAAGTAAATCGGCCTGTTGTGCTCCCCACTTTTGTCTCTGGTGAATCCTCTCAATGCCCTCCCCCCACCTCTGGCCTACACCCTAGTTCTACACAAAAATTATGGCTATTTTATGGACATAGCATGTTTTAAGATATTACATAAGTTTTATATTGCCCTTAGAAAAGCCTTGTTTAGACTAAATAGAGGCGCTGCTGTGGCTTCCTGTTAACACCCCTGACCACTGCTTCAGTAGGCCCCCTTTACCATTTTGTTCGTATAGTGCTGGATGAGACCCATGAAGCCCAAACAAATCTCTGGATTGCACTTGGAGCTTGTTTATAGTGAATTAAGTAAAATGGTGTTAGATGTGCACCCCCCTGCCTTTCCTCGCTTAAGGTTAAATTTGTAAAATAGGCAGAAAGATTACAGTTTACTTACCAGCCTGGAAGTTTTGTAAAGTGACAAAATAGCTAAAAACGATTTTGCTGCGGGAAGTTGAGTGGCTGGGGCCTCCCTGGTGGTGCATCGGGTTGAGTGCCTGTGCTGTGAAGCTGTCCGCAACCCCTGCAGTGGAGGGTTTGATTCCCAGCCGGCCAAGGAGATACCCACATGGCTCGGCAGACCTCTCCTGCCTCGCCCGCAGCTCCCCTCAGTAGTCTTCGTCTGTTCTGCCTGTTTTGCTCCCCGCTCTGGCTGTGGTGAATTCTTTCACCCTCCCGCGCTTCTGACTGTACCCCAGTTCTTATATAAATAAATATTTTTAAAAATATGTTTTAAAAAGTTGAGTGTCTTCCAGACCACGCCTTAAACGACCCCGCGGAGCACCGACACGCTGACAGCCCAGGGGAATTTCCAGCCCCTGAGCGGGTTCCTGCCCACCCCGCGCCACGGCTGGCGGCCTGCGGGAGGGGCGGGGCTTCCGGTCCGCGCGAAGCAGCTTCCGGCGTGGCCTCCGGGAAACGCGGGGCCTCCGTGGGCGGGAGGTGAGGCGGCGCTCGGGTGCGGCTGCACGCGGGCCAGCGGGTGGAGGGGCTGCCCGGCCCGGCGGCCTTGGCAGGGCTCCTTCCGGGTCGCCCCCTCTTCTACACAGGTCTGGTGGTCTCCGGCCCTTGCCTCCTATCCCCCGCCTGGCTCAGTCATTCAGCCCCGAGCGGGCTGTCCCGGGAGGACCTGGCGGGGGCGGCGAGGAGCTGGAGCCGAGTGGATCCTGGCGCCGCCAGAGCTGAGTCCGCGGAAATCGGGAGGGCACACAGGAGGTGGTGCCCGAGCCGGGGCTTCTGGAATAAGAGGAGTTTCCGGGCTGTGAAAGAAAGGTGCTTTATTTGCATGAATGAATGCATGGTCTCCATTTTCACAGTCTTCAGAACAACCTGTTATAGAGCAGCCCCGATATTAAACGGGTTCCTGGCTGTGGGTCCTCACCCGCGCGCTTAAAAGGGACTTATGAATACTCCACTACAGACACACACAAAAGGTTAATAAAAGGTTTATTTACAAGGGAAAAGGAAATAAGGAAATTGTACAACTCAGGGAGAAAATAGGGAAATAAAGTCTTTAATGCGTCCTACCCGATCCGACGACCTGGAAACCCAAAGTCACTCTCAGAGCTGGCGGGATGCTGCGAGCTGGCGGAGAGCCAAAATGGGGATCCCCAAAAGCCCATGTGTCTGCCTTTTATAGCCACCTGGCTGCTTAACCCCACCCTCAGGTCCCAGCCACCTTCCCTTTGGTGGTGATGGGATTTGGAGTTCCCAGTGTCTTTGGCTTTGACCTGGGGTGGGGGTGGAGTCCACAAAGCCTGTATGGAATTAGCTTTGGGACATCCTTTTCCCCCTAACAATTCCCCCCTTTCACTTTTTGCCACCATTTCCATGGTGATGAAGATCGAATATATGGAGGTTGGGATGCAGTCTCAGATGAACATTTTTTCCAGGTTCCAGAGTGAAAGAAAACCAGTCTCTCCAAGTATTTGTCCATTGTGGAAAGCAAAAGTCCTCTATTCCTGGAAAAACAGTTCATCAGTTCAAGCCAAAAAAAAAAAAAACATGTGGAGGCATTAGCCAAAACAGGACAGCAGATATGTATTTTGATATATTTGTTGTCTTGTTTTAGCCAATGCTCCAAATTTTTTTTCTTTTGGCTTGGATAATGGACTATTTTCAAGTAATGGAAAACTGTCCTACTGGACATTCATGGACAATGCTGCTGACTAATTGTTGCTTCTCTTACACACATTGTAACCCTGAAAAAAAGACTGTCTCCTAAGATTACACCATGAGATCTGTGCCACCATAGATATGGTGGAATAAAAATTAAAAGGGGGGATTGTAACAGGGTGGTCCCCAGGAAAGGGGGAGGTTCCCTGACCCTCCCAAGGGAGGGTGGAGCTGAGCAGGGAGAGGAGAAGCTGCAGAAAAGACTGAGGAAGGAAGGAGCAGGATGGAGCCAGGAGACCTGGAGGAGGCGCATGGAGCCTAGAGACACGTGAAGAAACTGCGCTTGTCTTTTGGTCATGGACGGGGTGACACAGATGTGGGTGAGACCCGTGGGGAGGTGACCATGGCAGCTTTTATCTTGATGTTGATTTTGCTCTTTTCCTTCCGGGATTGTCTGGTTGTTTCTGACCCTTTTCTGTGGATCCCCGCGGGAAGATGCTTTAGACTTGTGGCAGGCTTTGGGGCCTTGTTCTGGGCAGATCCCATATGGATGGACTTTTACCCACGAGGGGACGGGTAACTCTGGGTGCTTCATTTAGAAACTAGGCTCTTTGCCTTTCCTGTATTGTTTCCTAATTGTATTAAAGTTCCTTCCCATTAAAGTCTCATGTGTTTTGTGTTGATGCGGCGGATGGCAGAACCCATTTAGAATAGGCAGGTTTGCGGGGTTTGGGCTGCCCCTCTCCCTGTCCTATAACGAACCCACTGTTCTGGAGATTAGAATCTCCCCATTTTATTGTTGAAACTCTTACAGGATAGGGAGAGGGGCATCCCAGACCTCGCGAACCTGCCTGCCCTAAATAGATTCTGCCATCTGCAGCATCAACCCAAAACATATGAGACTTTAATGAAAAGGAACTTTAATATAATTAGTAAACAATACAGGAAAGGCAAAGAATATAGTTTCTAAATCAAGCACTCAAAGTTACCCGTTCCCTCGTGGGTAAAAGTCCACCCAAGCAGGATGGGCCCAGAACAAGGCCCCAAAGCCTGCCACAAGTCTAAAGTATTTTCCAGTGGGGACCCACAGAAAAGGATCAGAAACTACCAGAGTCTGGAAGGAAAAGAGCAAACTCAAGACAAAAACCGCCATTGTCACCTCTTCATGGGTCTCACCCACATCTGTGTCAACCAGTCCATGACCAAAAGGCAAGCACAGTTTCTCCACGTATCTGTTGCTCCATGTGTCTCCTCCAGATCTCCTTCTGGCTCTCCATCCTGCTTTGTTCCTTCCTCAGTCTCCTCTGCAGCTTCTTCTTCTCCCTGCTCAGCTCCACCCTCCTTTGGGTGGGGCAGGGAACCTGGAAACTCCCCTTTCCTGGGGACCACCCTATTACAAAATTAAATCCTCACTTTGCCCAAGTTAATCACACTGAATGGTAAAAACCAGAAGTTGAATTCCTAAGCCTGGACTCTTAACCATACTCTGCACTGCCTCAATACTATACCTTTAAGTAAAGTGTTTGACAAATGTCCTTTGTAATCATTTGTCACAGCGGGAATATAGCTAAGTAGAAACTTCAGAACATATACACCTGAACTAGTCAACTAAAAGCAAAGAGCTTCAGTGAGTGCAGGTTTTGGGGAGGTGGGAGAGATGGCTATCAGCTGGAACTGGTGAATGCAAATGGAAAGGACTGATTTGAGCTAAGTGTCATTTGAAAGGTCAACACAAGAACATCTCAGGGCTGAGAGGCCAAAGCAAAGATGCACAAGTGAGCAAGGAAAGGAAATGATCCCCATTTTCTCTAATGAAGCTCATTTTATCAGTTACTCCACTAACATACTGAGAAGCTGACCGCATTTCTTTAGGCCACGTTTCTCTTGCTCCTTTAGCACTTGTGGGAAACCAGAGAGTACAGGCTCAGACTAAAGGTAACTATCTGGCGCAGACACTCTTGTTGCACCTCTGCTTCTCTGTGCAGGGTATTCAATAAATCTGCTTTTCCTGGCCCTCAAAAAAAAAAAAAAGAAGGAAAAAAAAATTTAAACTAGCTGTGCCTCTCCACTCCAGCTTGTTACCAAGCAGATCTTTCCATTTTTCAAGAAAGTCAAATCTAGAATTTGAAATCTCCCAAGTTGTAAATATAGGTAAACCAGATTTAAAAATGAAACATTGTGTGGACTAACCAAAATAAGTCTACTAGCCAAATTTGCCTCTTAAGCTATACTTTAGATTTTCATTGTATTATGCAAGGACCATATCACATATGAGAGACTGATGGCGAGTTCAAGTTTATTTTATATTACCAGGAACACTTGACCAACTTCATTATTTTATAGCCAATGAAAGCCAAATAGGCCCATGAGGTGGTCAGTGTCCTATTGGATATTTTCACAATTCTTGGTACACCTAACATACTGGAGTCTGACAGTTGCATAGGGT